GTATCATTGTCCGATTGATAATATCATTGGCTCATGTTTGATTGATGTCAAATGTTTTAATTTACTTTTCAACGAAATTCCATATTTCTTAATAGTTTGATATTAAAATTAATTTTTTTTTAAATTTGTTTAAAACTCATTAAAAAATTAACTTATAAAATTTTAAATTTATGAGAGAAAAATTGATTTTCAAAGTAAATGCTCTTTAAACTTTGCCAAAAACCTTTTAAGTCTTTTGTCTAGATCAAAGGAAAAATAAAGGGCTTAGCTTTTAATTTAACCTCATGTTTGGGTGAAGGGAAATGGAGGGGAAGGAAGGAAAGGAGAATTATTTCCTTCTATTCTCCTTTATTCCCCTCCCTTTCTTTTCCCCCAACTAGATAAGTAACCAAATTAAAAGATAAAGAAAAGTAAAATTTTCCCCTCCCTTCCCTTTCAATCTTTTTATAGCAAATAAAAGCACTTTTTCCCCTCCCCTCTTTTCCTCTCCATCCCTCTCAAATTAAACATACTATAAGTGATTGGAATCAATTCCTTATCTATGCTATGGGAGAAATTTTAGTTTAAATTTGGAGAAGATTTGTGGGAATGTAAAGTTTGATGTAAGGAGCTAAGGTACCCTTTGTAACTAAATAATAGAAAATACTTATTTGTTGGAGAAAAAAGAAAACAATAAAAACGAGGCTGCAAATGATAGAATTCTCCTGCTAAACAGAACCATTTAGCGAAAGACTTTCAAGGATTACAATGCTTCTTTTTGTCCAAATATGTTTATGCGAGGACATATCTTTCTCGACCCGAAGTCTTAATTTGCAACCTTGGATATAATTGAGTGATGATGTAAGGTGAAAACTCAAGTGAAAAACAACATAAAGTGAACATAAACTCAAGGATTAACTTGAGAAATTATGAAATATATTAAACACTATTGAAATACATGAACAGTATCTGACATATTTTCAGAAAATAGCAACGGACATACACATACACATTTCAAAGAAAAAGAAAGTTATAAATAACAGTTGCTGAAATGAAAAGAAGTTACAAACTGAAAAGAAATTGCTACACCACTAAGTAAAATAAACTAAATATAACTGCCACATTAAAGACTTGATCTCACACGCTAACACTCCTCCTTGAGAGCAAGTCTGGTAACTCCAAGCTGCTCTCTCAGCATCTCAAACCTCTGCTTTGGCAAAGACTTAGTAAGAATATCAACAAGTTGTACATCTGAACTACAATAAAGCAACTAAATTTGCTTGCTCTTGATGTACTACCTAATGACATGATACTTGACATGAACATGCTTAGTCCTCTTGTGCTGCACAGGATTTTGAGCAATTGCAATAGCTGATGTATTGTCCACATAAATCAAACTAGGATCAAACTAAGGCTGCCCCATATCAGATAGCATTTTCCTCAACCATATAGCATGATTTAAAGCTTCCAAAGCTGAAATATACTCAGCCTCAGCAGTAGATTGGGCAACCACTTCTTGTTTACAAGAATTCCAGCAAAACACACCTGATCCAAACTAAAATAAGTAACCAGAAGTGCTTCTCCTGTCATCTATGCTCCCTACCCAGTTACTATTTGAATATCCTGATAAGCAACCATGATCATTCTTACTAAACCAGATTCCATAATCAATAGTACCATTAACATACCTCAGAACTCTTTTTGCAGCACTCAATTGAACTTGAGTAGGAGAACTCATGTATATAGACAATAGACTAGCAACAAACATAATGTCTGGTCTAGTAGCAGTAAGATAAAGCAAACTGCCAATGATACTTCTGTACCAAGATGCATCAACATAAGCACTACCATCATTTTTTGACATTTTACAATTCAAAACAAGAGGAGTAGAAACTGGTTTACTATATCCCATATTGAATTTCTTCATCATATCC